CGGCATTCTCTGAGGGAAGAGCCCTTGGGTCTTCGCACATCGATAAAACCTCGAGCTCCGACCTCGGATCGATCCCGCGACGACTCCCAGACAGGCTCGTCACCCGAACGGAGGAACGGCGTCGCAGGGGTGGACGAGACGCGCGGTTGCCAGGACTGCTCGAACGAATTCGCCGCTGTCTGGCGGCGTGCGTAGCGACCAGACAATATCCCTTGAGGAGTTCTCAGGCGATATCGCCACTCTTAAGCGGCATGACGATTTATATGTTTGATAGGAAGTTCCGCGCGACATCGCTTTTTCAGATACCATGGCAGGTTTGCAGAGCCCTGGAAGGCGATCTGAAAGTTGCTATGAGAAAACTCCAGGCGGACTCGCATTTTCAGGCGCTGATCCCATTTGGCTTGTATGATATTACAAAGAGGTGAGGGATGCATCTAAAATTCCCAAGTCGGCGAGAACTCCAACATTGCCCCGGGGCCCCATCACTTCGCCGCCCCAGTCGGAGCGACGTCCTCCACTGGCATCTGAGAGCGCCTCGGCGCGATGCCGGCCGCGCTGGGCCGCGGGCTCATTGTCGTTCCTTCCCGCCTGCGCGCGGGCGATTTCTTTTGTCCAAAACGGGCGAGATGGCCGCGCCATGCAATGCGCCAGTTCGCCGAACTAGCACGGCGCGGTCGCTGACGGCGAGCTGCGCCGCCCGGCGTCCTATATTTGTTTGTCTCTGGCGACTGGCGAGAGAGGCCTCGTGCGCTGGCCGCTGCCGGACGCGCCCGGCGGCGCGCCGAAGTCGCTGCCGCCCTTCGGGCGGGCGCGCTCGAGCGCGGGCGCGCGTCCAAGCTGGCAGGCCGCTTTTGTTGGGCCGCCTCCAATTCCCCCGGGCGACGTGGGCGGGCGGCGCCCCCGCCATTATCGCGCCGCCCGCGCGCCCCGTCGCGCCCGCGAGTCTGTCCGCAATCGTGGCGCGAAGCGCTCTCCAGCAGTCTCGCCGCGACGCGGGCGCGGCAGGCGCTGGGCGCAAGGTCTGCGCAGCGACTCGGTCGCGCGGAGCTGCCGGGCCAGAGTCGCCGCGGCCCTCTCCGTTGACGGGCGCGCAGTGCTTGCTGATGTCGCGCCTCCTGAGCCCCTGCGTCGGGTCTTTTAGGAAAGGCTCGATTATCCAATCGGGGGGCTGGAGGTGCTCAGCCTCGCTCTGGGCCTGGCCACCTTCGGGCCGCCTGTCTGGCCGACGCGTGAATATTTTTCTCGGGGAACGCAGGCTGCGAGTGGGCCATTCGGTCCGGTGCGGCGAAACAGGTGGTCCACTCCTGCCTCGCCCAGTCAATTTTGCACATGGCGCCGCGCGCAAGTTGCAGCCTGCGCGCCCATCGCCTTGCGTCGGCGCCCAGCGCGGCCGACCTGCCCTCAGGCGGGTCGCAATGCTTGCTTCGCCGCATGGGCGCATGGGGGCGGAGTGGATTTCTTTGGCGCCGGGCGGTGCCCGGCTCGACCCGGGCCCGCAGCTGCCTCGCCGCCGGCCCTGGCTGGCTCGGGCGCCGGGCGCGAGTGTGCGCCGGCCGTGTCTGGCAGGCAAGGGCGCCTCCCTCGAGCGCGTCGCGATCACGCGTCGCGGCGCCGTCGGCGCGCTCGCCGCAGTTGCCGCGGAGGGCCCCGCCCATGTTCGACGCAACGTGGCGCGGTCGGGCTCGGCTGCCCAGCTTCGCGCGGTCTGCCCAGGGGCGCGCCCCGCCCCTGCATTCGACGCTGCTGCGCTTGGTCAGCAACTTGGTCGACGTCGCCCTGGAAGATTTCAGGGGCGCCGTGGCGTTATCGAGCGACGCCCGCGGGAAGCTCCGCGCGACCGTCGCGACAGACCAGCGCGGCGGCGCGCCCGGCGCGCAAGGCGGAGGACGCGCCGGCGCGCGCGCCGCGCCCGCCCATTCGCGTCGGAGGGCAGGCGGCGCAAGGCAGGCGCCCTCGAGCGATGCGGATTGTTCATCGCCCACGGCGCGGGCGAGACACCGCGGCGCATCGCGCGCGGCGCGTCGCGCGGGCGCCGGGGCAGCGGCGGGGCAAACGCAGCTCCCCCAGCGTATCCTGCGACCGCTGTCCAGCGGGCGCTCTCGAGTCGCCGGGCGCGCGGCCCGGCGGGTCGCGCGCGGGCCGCGGGTCGAAGGCGCGACGCCCCGCGCCTGCGTCGCCGCGCGGGCGGCCTGGATTCCGCGGGCGCGCAGAGCCTTGTTGAGCGCGTTCCCGGGGGCATGCCCGCGCTCGTTGCCGGCGTTAAGCAGCCGCCAATGACGCCATCGAGAAGCGCTTGGGCTGGGCGGCGAGGGCGCGCGTGGCTCGCCAGGGCCGCCGATCCACCGCGTCGTGCTTGGCGGCCCGCGCATTCCTCTTTCGGCTACATTCGGAAGTCCTGCCCGCGGCGCAAGCTGCGGGCGGCGCGGCCGTAGCTCGCGCGTCCTCGGCGTTTGCCGTCGGCGATCGAAAGATTGAGCTGCGCCTCTCCAGGAGTGTGAATCGCGAGAGCCGCTCAGTGCTGTCGCGGCAGTGCTGGCGCGACGAGCGCGCGGTCACCTGCCCCGCGCTCGTTCTCTGGGCCTGGCTGAACGCCGCGCCATCTCGTTCTGGGCCGAGTGGCCCCCGGGCGCAAAACGAGCTCGGCCGCGCCGAGCGCAGCCGAGCTTGCTGTGTGTGTGTGTGTGTGTGTGTCTGTGTGTCTGTGTGTCTGTGTGTCTGTGTGTCTGTGTGTCTGTGTGTCTGTGTGTCTGTGTGTCTGTGTGTCTGTGTGTCTGTGTGTCTGTGTGTCTGTGTGCCTGTGTGCCTGTGTGCCTGTGTTTCTGTGTGTCTGTGTGTCTGTGTGTCTGTGTGTCTGTGTGTGTGTTGCGAAGGCCTTACGGCTGGCGCCGCCGACCCTGAAGGGGAAAGACGACAACGGCGGCGGCGGGGCGATGACGACGACGACGACGTTGACGTGGGCCAGAGTCCTCATGCATGCTTCTTGGGGTCCCTGCGAAGCGCTCTCGGGGGCTTCTGTGGCAGTTCAGGGACCTTGGGAGCCTCTCAGGGGACTAGGGGCCTCTTGGGAGCCTCGTGGGGGCCTCTCGGGGTTTCCTGGGGGCCTCTGGGGGGCCTCTAGGGGGCCTTTTGTTTCCTCCTGGGAGCCTCTCGGGACCGAGGACTCGAAATGCCCGTTTTGGTCTTTCATCTGCATGGGCACCCTTTTGGAGCCGTCTTTGGGGCCTTTTTTGGGCCGCCTTGGAGGCGTCTTGGGCCGTCTTGGGGCCCTCTTGGACCGTTTTGGATCCCTTCTGGAGCCCTCTTGGGCCGTTTGGGGGCGATCTGGTGGGTTTCTTGGGCCGTCTTCGAGGGTCGGGGGCGGAACAAGCGAAAACGCTGAAATGATTCAAACACCAGTGGGAAATCACTGATTTTCCCTCTTGGGGCCCTCGTGGGAGTGCTCCTGGAGGCCTCTTGGGCCATCTGGAGGCCGTCAAGGCGTTTTGGATGGATCGTTCGGCGATTCGGTGCCCACTTGGACCGTCTTGGGGGCCTCTTGGGGCACGCTTGGCCCGTCTTGGAGCTTTCTGGGGCCCTGGGACCCCTTGGGGGGAGTCGCATCTGACCTATAGCCTATAGGTCAGATGCGACTCCCCCCAAGGGGTCCCAGGGAGGTCCTACAGGACCCCGCTGGGACCCCCCCCCGGGATCCCCCCCCCTCCCGGCGGGGAAGGAATCAAAGGGAAGTGGCTAGAGTAAATTACGACGTTGCTCCATTTCGCTTTGGCTGGCGCGCTTGACGAGGAGGAGGGTCTAGGGAAGGGGGGAGCGGCGACGGGCCAGCGCTTGAGGAGGAGGGCCCAGGGAATGGGGGGATCGCGACGGGCCCAGGGAAAGGGGGGGCGCAGGGAAAGGGCACGACAGAGCCGACGACTACCGAATGACGGAGACGACAACTCGAACGGACAAGCCTCTCACACATGCCGACAGGGTCGGCGGATTTTACGAGGTGGCGATAGATCGGGGGGGGGGGAGGTGAGAGCGGCGCACTTTTCGCTCACCCGAGAGCGGCCCAAACAGATCCGTCTGAAGGGGCCCCTTGGGGCCCCAGATGTGCACGGAGGGCGCACGCGTCTTCGCCATCTTTGTTCCCAGACGTCCGCCGATATGTTTTTCCCCACCCGTGGTGTTTTGGGCCCTCTTGTTTAAATCCGCAGCGCCTCGCGTTCATTTCTCCTTCGTCCTCCCCCCTTCCCTCCTCCCGCTTCTGCCCTCTGCAAGTCCTCATCGTCACACACTCCACACGCCTCGTGGCTTCATAGGGAGGTTCACCGAAGGCGGCCAGAATCACGTGCGCCCCCCCGCCCAGGAATCACATGCGCCCCCCCGCCCATTTTTGCCCCCCGCCCCCTTGAACTTCTTCTCATATGCCTCGCAATGCTCGCAGCTGGCTAACCTCAGTCGGTCTTTAATTTGTGTCCCCCCTCCTTTCTCTCGGCGGGGAATTCACTCGCCCTCCTCCTCCTCCTCCTCCTCCTCCTCCTCCTCCTCCTCCTCCTCCTCCTCCTCCCCTTGCTCCTCCTCTTCCTCCTTCTACTCCTCTTCTTCCTCCTCCTCCCTCCGCAATCGTAGTCGTGGTCGTTGTCGTAATCGTACTCGTATTCGTAGTCGTAGCCGTAGCCGTAGTCGCATCGTGGTGGTAGTCGAAATCGTAGTCGCATCGTGGTCGTTGCGGAAAATGAACACTGTCCTTCCTTGTTGGGGCCCCAGTCCGCGCGGAGAAGCACAAACAGAAGCCTTTTGGCGCTCCGCGCGGATCTCTTGTATCCGCGCTGGGCCCCGGCGGCGGCGCCTTCAGCGCCTCCCCTGGCGCGCTCCGCGCGCCGGGGAGGGGGGTCCCGCGCAGCTCCAAGAAACCGGCACGGACCGCCCAGCGTTTGTGTTGCTGTCGCTCTGGCTCCTCCACAAAAATCGAGGTGGACCTGCACGACTGTCCGCTTCCCCTGCTCGCCCCCAAAGAGGCCGCTCGGACCTCTCCGCCGACGAGCGCGACCCCTCCGCCGACGGGCACCGGCGGCCCCGCGCGGCACTCAGAGGGCCTCTGCACACGGCGGCGGTTCGCTCGCGCGCCGCCTCGGCGACCGCCGGATGACTGGCGCGGGCGCCCGGGGTCGAACGCCCGGGGGAGGGGGGGGCGCCAGACGGCGGCTGTAAGCTCGCGCGCCGCCTCGGCGACAGGCGGGGTGCCACCTGGAACCGGCGCGGGCGCCCGGGTCGAGCGCGGGAGCCTTGAGACGGGGGTCGATGCAAACGGGGGTCAGCCAGAGCGCCGGATCTTCTAGCAGGATCTCGCAAAGCTGAGGCTGCACTGACCCCGGCTAGCGCGCAGGATCCTGAAGGGTGTTGCAGGACGAGGGTCATTAGATCCCCGACGAACGCTCAGGGGGGCGCCAGATCTCCGCCGATAGCCAGTCCAAATCCATGATTAGGCATACTAGTTCTCCTCAGAGTACCCTTGCGTCCTTTCCTTCGTGGCCCGTCCTTCGCTGGTTTCACTGGCCAGCCCCTCGGAGTACTCTTTGGGGCGGGCGACGCCTTCTGGAACGCTCATTCGGCAGCCGAGGCTCTCGCGTCCTTACCGCCCGTCGCCCGTCCCTTCTTATAGATGTTGACTGTATGATGTTTTCAATCCCGTTGTTGTTTCCTTGATTTGGGCCTCTACAGAGGCCGTTGTCGGGCCCCGGAGCCATCAAGAATGGGTCCGGGGCGAAAGATTGGCCCAGGGAAGGGGTCGGGACCTCGTGGGGCTGCAAGATCATACCGTCGGATGTCTGGGAAGTCGAGCGCGCGCAATCCGGTCAGCACACACCAGATAAGAATCGCTGAACATTTAAGCGTAGTGGTTGGTCTGTGTGGACGGGTCATATCTCGTCCATGAGATCGTATGAGGTCGCGGACATGCCGTCCATGAGAGCGCACAAATAAGTCAGGAACACATTGGGCAGCAAGTTTGAGGGACATCTTTAATTGGAAACCATATGTCTACTGACTGGCTTGTGCTGGCTTATGATAAATGTCAGTCCTCCCATGTGAGGCTGGAGTAGATCGGGACGGAACATCGCGCCGCATCGCCGATGCATCGACGATGCGGCGCGATGCTCCGACCCCACCTGCTCGAGATCCCCTGTGGCAGTTCCCCCGAAACCCAGACCTCAGAGAAAAGTTCAGGCGAACATTTTTCTTCCCTATTTTCAGCCTCTGCGGAGGAGGAGCCCTCACCAGCCGTGGAAGAACGGCTCGGAATCCATGGCCAGTTTTGGGGAGGGGGCCGTAACCTCCAGGGTTTCACGCTGCGAAAAGGGTTACGACAGGTCAGGGGAATGGTGCCAGCGTGAGCGCTGTCGGCGGAAGCCCAGGGCGTCGAGATGTTGAGCTTCAGGCAGGCAGCGTCCCTTTCGATCCGACCGATCCGGATTCGATGTGCGCGCGGACACGAAGTTCCCGACGTCGGCGCGAATCACACGGGCGATGGCGGGTGACGCGAGGGTTTGGGTGCTTCTCCAGGTCGTGGCCGAAGTCGGCACGGTCCCCCAGAAAGCGCCGACCACGGCATCCCAAGTTTTGTAGAGAGCCGCCGAAAGTGCGGCAGGCGCTGGCTGGGTCGATCGGAGTCAGTTCGAGGAGGAGGAGGAGGAGGAGGAGGAGGAGGAGGTGGAGGGCGGCCAATCGACCCCACTGGCGCTGCGATCCGAGGCGGCCCGATTCTCTCAGATTTGGCGCTCTTGCGTATCTGGGCGCAGCCGCCTCTGACCCTACCTCGGCATCGTGCCGATGCAGCCCGATCCGACGCACGTCCCGGTCCGATCCGATTTCGAGAACCGATGCTGCTTGATCCTGAAACTCAGGATGCAGTTTCGGGGAGGTTGAATTCGGCATCGGCGCTGGTATGCCCGTGGTCGAAATTCTGCCGAATCCAGGATTTCCCGCATTGTCCCTCTCAATCCAGCTTGGTCGGGCTCCATGAGGTTAATCCGGGCCAAGCCAGCCGAATGGCCCGTTTATCTGGATAAATAGTCTTTCATCGTTATTACGGCAGTTACCCAGGAGCTGTTTCTGAATGAAAGAGCCGCGATTCGGCGCATCTTCCTTGCGGCGTAAATCGGAGGAAGAACAAACCAGCAGCGGGTCCACGGAAGGTTGGCAGAGGGCGTCAGAAGGAAAGAAAAGCAAAACGTCAACATTGTTGGATTCGAGCTCCTTGAATTTGGCCAGCATGGAGACGGAAAGTAACGGGACGAAGATCGACAGCAGCTCTTTTCCGTTTTGAACGGGTTTCGTTGTCGGTGTCGCCGCGGCCGTTGTCCATTTGGGACGAGCGTCATTGGCCCAGCAGGACCTTGCAGGCCTTGGACAGTACCTAATGTTTGGCATCGACCCGATTGTTTCTGTCCCCGTTCTGGGCGTGCCAAAAGGGGGGGCCATCTCGGTCACAGGGACCTGGAGAAAACATTATAAGGCTCGAAATACATGCGACAGATGTCGCGTGCCTCTGGGAACCTCCGAGAAAAAGTGATCGGTCTAGAATGAACGGTCCGCGCGGTGTCAGAGATCAGGGCCGACGTCACAGCATGAGCTTCTTGCACTCCCACTTGCGACGTGGAAGTTCTTGCCGGCCGCCGTGCTGTAAGCGGCGCGACATTGAGTTGTTGCGTTTGTCGCGGGAGACTTTTTTGGGTGTATTATTCCAGCAGTCAGAAGTTAAGAGAGCGTCGAAATGTCGAGTTCGCCGCGAGTTTCTCGAAGTGTGGCCCGAAGCTTGATCGGCAGGATGCGCTTCGGGGGAATCTTGTGGGCAGTCAGATGCGCTATCTCATCGTCTGGTTGAATTCCCGGGTTTTGGGGGACATGTCGCTCAGTTGTGAAGTGGTAGAGTTCTTGAGCACCAGACACCCGAAGCACCCACTCTACGGCATGGCTTCTTGTAATAACAATTGTAAACACGACAGTAGAGATAATGCCGTTAATGCTTGGCTGAGGTGACGAGGAGCAGTGCGTTATCGACCGCGTCGTCGCCCTCTCCTTTGCCAAATTGGTGTTCTGTCCGCCATACGTTTATCGAGGCTCAGATTCAGCCGGACGAGGACGAATGGCCTATCGTCACTACTTCGCGTTCGAAGTCTTCGCCCCCTCAGTTTCAGTTTCAGTGATGCCCGTCGCCGGCTCAAGAATTTGAAGCCACTATCGTTACCCGCTGTTTGGAGAACTAGTGTTCGTGAGGACTATGCTGGATGTAGGGGCATTCAATTAATACGTAGCGAATGCGTTGGCTCGGGTCTCGGGAGATCCAAGTCGACGAATCCGGCGGCACGTACATGGGTGAGTGGTCCATGCTGGTCTCTCAAAAGTTATGTTGACATGTCCGCCTGCTCTCTCCTTGTTTGTTTCTCTCTCTCTCTCTCTCTCTTTCTCTCTCTCTCTCTCTCTTTATTTTTCTCTCTCCCTCTCTTTCTCTCTTGAATCGGTATCTTCGCCCTGGTCTGTCACGCACCGTAACACGAGGACAGAGGAGAGAGACACAAAGAGATATAGAGAGAGAGACAGAGAGAAAGACAGAGAGATAACGACTACACATGTATAGTTATGTATATGTGCATGTCTGTATGTATACATGAATTTCAGAGAGAAGGAGCGAGAGAGAGAGAGAGAACGAGAGCAAAAACAACAAATAAGGGGGACCAACACGCATCGACAAATATGCACATACATACATACATGCATACATACAGACAGACATACATCTAAAGCAGAAAGGGAATGAGTGATGCACACACACACGGGGGAAATGAGTGTGGGTCAACAGCCAGGACCTGGATTCCTGGTTGGGCCACGACACCCTTGAAGAGCCTCTTTGGCCCTTCCGCGGCCGCTCAAGGTAGCACCTGGGTGAGCCAGAAGTCCGTCAGGAGGCCCGAAGAGTTTCCCATGCGCGCCCATGGACAGCTCGAATGCATCCAAGACGGCTCAAGACGGCCCAACATGGTTGCCAAGAGGCTCGCAAGACTCGCCCAGCAGGCTCAAGGATGACCCCAGAGAAGCCCCCAAGAAGCACAACATATGTATTCCTAGGTGGTTCTTGCATTATTTCCGCATCCTCCCTTTCTCGGTCGTCAGCGCCCAAGATGGCGCAAGAGGCTCCAACTCTCGTCCGAACGCGGCCCCGAAAGTTTCAAGAGGGCCCCACGGAGGCCCAGGACAACCCAAGATGGCCCCTGGAGGGGCTCAAGACGGCGTAAGAGGGTCCTGAGATTGCCCAAGATGGGCCCAAGACGGCTCATAACAACCACACTAAACCCGCAAGACACCAAAGGGGCCCAAGATTATCGCTGAGGGCCCCAATGCACTCCAACACGACCTCAAAACAGCCCCCAGGGATCCTCAAGAGGGCCCCACAACGGCCCCAAAGACCCCGACGACAGTCTTTCCAGCATGCGTCCAAGAAGCTCTCGGACGGCTCAACCAAAGACGGCTGGAGGTGTGCAGGCAGGAAGCTCTTCGACGACGCTTTGACACAGCGGTGCCGCCTGGCGCGGATTCTTGTGCACGGCTGAGCTGGTATGCTTCCTGCGTCCGAACTGTGTGCGTTGCGCCCGCGGTGCGCATGGTGTGAAGTGCGACGGTCCGAGAAGGGCCAGTTGAGACAACGGTGATTAATTGGCCTTCGGAAGGCCTTTCGTCGCCACGGCTGGACGCAGCTTGGAAAATTGGTGCGTTTGGACCCCAGGAGTGGTCCAGGGACCGATTTTGAGTTGCTCTTGTCTCAAGTTACCCTCCGAGACGCTTTGGGTGTGGCGCGTGAGCGTGCTGCGCTCGGTGCGCTTAGCCCGTTGCGTTCCGGCCCATTGCAGATTGTGGTGTCGGACGGTATTTGCCGCTTTCTCTCCGGCCCGCGTCCGAAAAAGTGCGGGCGAAGCGCCCGATGTTCCGCCTGCTATTCTGCCTCAGCGCTGGCAGGTGGGGGGTGCGTCGCGCCTCATTCCCTGCAGCGAAACCGACTCGGTGCTCCAGCTCAAACCTCCTTCCGCTTGTGCTGGTCTGCCCTTCGGCCGTGAGCGGGGAGCTTGGTTCTGTGGGGTTCAAGGCCTGTGGCCCTTCTCCAGGCCACAGTTTGCGTCCCCGCCAGATCTCGTGATGGCGACAGCGCGACGGACCGCAGGCCAGCCACCCTTTGCGGGGGTTTGCGCGGATGAGCGACCGTCTGGAAATTCATCGCGGACGGACCATCGGTCGGTGAGGCTGGGCAGGCGAAGGTCATTTGCCCCGCCGTGGTAAGCAGAGTTGTGGCGATCGCCTCGTCTTGAAGCCCCCGTGCTGAGAAACGGCGAGTCGTTGTCGAGGTTGGCTGCGGTCGATTCGAAATCTCGGGCAGGCTCGACATTCAGGTAGGGTGAGAAAAGCAGCAGCATAGTGACCAGCATGAGAAGGCCTTCGCCTCTTCTCTCCCGCCTCATCCTACTTGTTCTCCTCCTGTCCACGTCATCACCACGCCTCCCAATTGGGCGTGCGACCCCGCTTCCCTGCTGCAAGGACCTCTGACACGGATTATGGGTGTTGCGTCAGCACGGGGGCAGCTTCTCCAAATCATCATCATCACCAACACAATGGCCCTCACTTCCGTTGCCATCCGCAACCCCCTCAACCTCCTCCCACACATATCCATCATCTTTGCGACACCATCATCATGGATGCCCCCCTTTGGCACAGGTTCCGCTCCCTCCCTCTTATCTCTTCCGCCACGCCAGTGGGAATTACCAACCAAAGTAAAGGAACTAATTGCTGTCATCACCACAGCCACGTTCACCCTCGCTATCGCCACCATAAGCATCGTCCCGCATCCTTTTTTCCACGCCCTATCCATCCTTGCCCCGCCTCCTCTTCCTCATTATCGAAGACGCCTACGGCGAATCACCGCCGCCCCCTGCCTTTTAGGTTACGCCTGTGTGGCCAAACGTCTGGGCAAAGTTTGGCCACGCCATTGGCCCATGCGTTCCCCCAGCCGATGTGGAAGCCCTTCGGGGAACACGTAGGGAGGAAGAAGAGGATAAGGAGAAGAAGGACAAATGCTAATGAGGAGAAGGATATGGAGGCCTCTTGGGAGTGTCTTGGGTCATTCTTGGGGGCTCCTGGGAGCTTCCTCGGGGCCTCTTGGAGACCTCTTGGGGACCTCCATGGGCCTCCTAGGGGCCGTCGGGTGCTTCTTGGTGGCCTTTTTGACAGTCTTACGGCGTGCATGGCCCGTCTGACGCCGTCGGAAATCATCTTGCCGTTTTGGGGCCATCTTGGAGGTCTCTTGGGCGATCTCGGAGCAATCTTGAGAGCCTCTTGGGCCGTCTTTGGCGCGTCGTGGCGGGTTCATTCTCCATGAGGGAAGTGCCCCGGGGGCTCCAGAGGAGTGCTTAGTAACGGCCAGATGCCAGGTTTTCCCACGTTTCAACTGGCATCTAGTTGTCTAGAGCACTCGGCTCTCACCCGAGCGACTCTGCCGAACATTTTCGACCCAGATGAAGCAAGAGGTTTGCCTGGCGACGGAACCATCCCTATGAAGTCAAGTGTAGCGCAAGGCGCGGGCACCTCTTCATGTGTTGTTATTGGGCCGTCTTGGGCCGTCGGACGGCCGAAAAGAAGCAAAGGGGGAAATCACTGATTCGGGCCTCTTCGGGCCTTCCTGGAGGACCTCTTGGAGGCCTCTTGCGCCGTCTTGGAGGCCTTTTCGAGGCCTCTTGGGCCGTCTTGGAGGCTTCTTGGGCGGACTGGGAGGCACCTTGGAACCTCTTTGGCCGTCCAGGAGGCCGTTTTGGACCATCTTGGGCGAGCTTGGAGGCCATCTTGGCCGTTTTGGAGGCCATCTTGGGCCCATCTGAAGCGAATAGATCCTTGCCAACCGGCTCTGCGCAAGCGTTCCGGGTGGCCGGCCACTGGACCGAAGCACCAAGGGGGAATCTTGAAACGAACCAGAAACCATCAGATGTTCAGCACGCCAGGCACTTCTATGATAAATCCACAGTGGGCGGCGGATGACGGAAAGCGCGAGCAGCGTCGCGATCCGTGGGTCGGGCGGGTTAACAAGGGGGAGTGTGGTGGGGCGGGGGCCCAGATGACGGAAAGCTCGCGCAGCGTGCGACCCCTTGGCAGGGAGACGTTGGCTTAGGGGGGGTTCGAGGGGGACGGCAGGGCGACACCCGGATGACAGAAAGCACGCGCAGCGTGCGATCCGTGAGTCGAGAGAAATTTCAGCAGGGAAAGATCGAGGAGAAGTGAGGAGGAGGAGGAGGAGGAGGAGGAGGAGGAGGAAGAGGGGAGGAGGAGGAGGAGGAGAGGAGGAGGAGGGGGGGGGAGGGGAAGAGGGGGAGGAGGAGGAGGAGAGAGGAGGAGGAGGAGGGAGGAGGAGGAGGAGGAGGAGGAGGAGGAGGAGGAGGAGGAGCGAGGAGGAGCGAGGAGGACGAGGAGGAGGAGGAGCGAGGAGCGAGGAGCGAGGAGCAAGGAAGAGGTCTAGGGAATTCAGTAGGGAAAGATCGAGGGGAGCGACAGGCCGACCCGGGGATCTAATGGCACAAGTTTCCTCTCGAGAGGCCTGCAGCGGCCTCGAGATAGCCCAAGACGGTCCAGGATGGCCGCCAAGACGGCCTCAGAGGGATCAAGAGGCTTCCAACGTCGCCCAAGATGCTTCCAAGACTGCCCAAGAGGCCCCCAAGACGACCCAAGAGCCTCCAAGACGCCCAAAGAGGTCTCCCAAGAGGGTTAAAACATGCGAGATTCATAGATTGTGCGATGGTGTTTCAAGGTTTTTGGGGTTCTCGCCTTTTCAGCTTCCCGACGCTCCAAGACGGCGGCGCAAGAGTCCCCCAAGATGGCACCACGGCCCCAAAACGGCCCAAGAGGCCCCCAAGACGGCTCCAGGAGGGGGCCCAGACGGGATAGGAGGAGGAGGAGGAGGAGGAGGAGGAGGAGGAGGAGGAGGAGAAGGAGGAGGAGGAGGAGGAGGAGGAGGAGGAGGAGGAGGGGTGGAGGAGGGGAGGAGGAGGAGGAGGAGGAGAAGGAGGAGGAGGAGGAGGAGGACGAGGAACGAGGAGGAGACGGAGGCGGATGAAGATGAGCAGCAGCAGCAGCAGCAGCAGCAGCAACAGCAGCAGCTAGGAGTAGAGTAGGAGTAGGAGTCAAGCTAGCCAGCTCGAGCGAGTCAAGCATGGCATGCCCAGTCCCACCCGCCCTCCCACAACATAAGAAGCAAAGCTGGCACAACTGGGGGACCGAAGTCACACCGGCCAGCCGGTTTGGTACAGCTGATGCGGCCGCGATGGCGGTTGCCGACGGGAACTGGCGAGCGCGTGTTGAATGCCGCGCACGCATTGCCAGACGAGTCGAGAATGGCCCGGTACACCGCAGGAAGCCAGAGGTGGCCGGAGGAAGCCCGACGGTCTGACAGGACACCCCAAAGCATTTTTGTGAAAAAGCATTGGGTTTTTGATGTTTTTATGTTGAAATGCTTGCAAACACACGGTGTTC